GCTCAAAATGTGATATGGGTGTTACAAATGTTAATATCAAAATTAATGAAATTAAAAGATGAGAAGTGGCTCAGATTAATAGATAGACATAAAATAGAGACCAGAATGCAAAGTTTTTATTGTGATGTTTTATTGAGCCAAGTAGGAACTTAGTGCTGTTCAGCAAAGGCAACTTTGGAATACCTGTAAGGCAAGGTAGAAACATACGTAGGCTTGAGTGTGAAACCTGCTTGACCAACAAAAAGTAAAAAAGAAAAAAAAATTGTGTTTCCCTGAACTCAAACCCCATGCAACTGTTAGCTCTATCATCATTCTCTTTAGGTGACTGGATTAAGTTCCATGGCTTTAAGGAGCAACTGCAAAGTAAGTTCATTCAGATGTGTCTGAAATTTGTTATTTCCTTCAGCTTACATGGACAACATTTTTTTTTGGGAGGGGGGTGGGGGTTGGTCCAGTCGTAGGGCCTGAACTGTGGGCCTGGGCACTGTCCCTCAGCTCTTCAGCTCAAGGCTAGCGCTCTACCACTTAAGCCACAGCACCACTTCTGGCTTTTTTCTTTTTGCTTATGTGGTGCTGAGGAATTGAACATAGGGCCTCACACATGCAAGGCAAGTGCTCTACCACTTTAATTAGAAATTGGCAGTGACTTTAGTCTCACAGAAATAAACGTGTTTCTTTTTAAACTCAGTCATCCAAGTAAGTTGCTGTGGTAGAGTCTGCCTGGAGTTACTCTGCTTGGAGATATTCAGAGAGAGTCTAGGAATATACTTTCACAATTCTCAATATTTACCAGCCTACAGGCAGGCAGCTTAAACAGAGTATTTCATAAGGTCCTTATAGATCTATTATCTTATAATTCTATCATTTCATGGTAATTCAAACCACTTTACACTATCAATATTCTCCATTTATGCCAACAGGCATCAACTTCTCTATCTTATTTCATTTATAATACAAGAGCTTGGGAAGCACCTTCAGATAGCAATTTGTACATGATCTGATATATTTTCATGGTTTTGTAAGCATGAAAAATTTAAAAGAACTGTACCTAGGACTGTATTATTATTTATAAAGGGAAGGTATGGAATAGCATGTTAGAAAAAAGAAATTAAAACAAAAGAGCAGTAGGAAGTTAGTAAAAGCCTCCAGTGTTGACTATGTTTCCAGATTGAACACACCTCTAAGTTTGGAGGATAAATGTCCAAGAAACCTGGACTTATTCCAGCAACTTCAGAGAAATTTCTTTTCCACTATAAGTGATCTCATGTATTGCCAGCAAACTTTGCTTTATTTTTATGTAGGGACATTTTGAAGACTTATCAAAGTAAACATCCATTGGCAGGGTTGGACATTTCCTGATGTTTCTTGTCAAAAACAAATTGAGAACCAATAAGACAAACCTTAGACATTCACTAAAATAGTATTCTGTCTGTCTCCATTTCTTTATCTGCACAAGGAGGGACAATAATAGAACATAAATGGTTATGAGGAGAAACAATAGAAATAATTTATTATAAATAATGATGTGAAATAGTTATGTTAAGTATTATTACTTTAACTTGTTTCCTAATATATTTTTAACCAATACTTTTTACGTACTATATAAAAAGTAGTTAAAAGTAATATCAATATTTACATCAATTTAACATAGCAAGTCAAACCTAAGTATGTAACTAGAAGGACCTTCATATCTGCTTACAAACCCTTTTCAGAATTCTTTGATGCATATTATGTTTTATTATGAATGTAAATACCTAGTAATGCAGCTCATAGGTCACATAATGAAAATAATGCTATTCAAATTGAAGTGTGTTATGTACCTTTGAAGTAGTTCAAAAGAGATGATGTGCCTTTACAATATGATTACCATGTTAATCATGAGTTATCCTGGGAAAAACTATTGATACAGTATTCTTTTTCAATAATATATGGCAAATTACATTGATTTCTTATCAATTTGCAAAAGAAAATGGTTGGAAATTGTAGAGATTGCTTACTACCATAGTTTATATCAGAAAGAAGATGTAGAAAACCAAATTACAATCATGGAGCTTATTTGGTAAATCAAAATCGAATAAATTATGTGTACATATGTAAATATGTGCATGCATATACCATATATACGTCTATGTATATACACATAGATATATACCTAATTTTCCACAATTACTCAGTTTAACCAATATTTCCATAATAGGAAAGTAATTCATGATGGGAAAATTCAAAATGCACAACTTTACATTCTAATGTAGCTTTTGAACTGTGAAGAGAGATGTTAGTAATGAAGAAAAAGTGTAAGAAAGAAAAGAGATGTTGAGCTAACTTAGATGAGTTTGTATGTATGATTTTGATAGGGAGATACTCTTCACAATATTTAAAAAGAAGTCCCAGAAATCTATCTACTTATTTATATATCTTGATAAATTATTTGAAAATAGTTTGTCTTTTCAGCTCCATTTCTGGATCTGGTTTCCCATTTCTTGAAAATAAATTGTGTAACTGAAATTTATTTGAGGTTCTACAAGATAAAAGTATATCCAGCTTCAAAGTTCTAGGTAAAGAACACATTTTATTTGAGCTACATGAGAGTGGTCAGAGGTAGAGATTAGATTTGGTGTTTATATCATCAGAAGAGATAACAACAAAAGAACTCTTCAGACTTTCCTGTCAAGTTCTTGTATAGTTGAAATATATGGTAGCAATTGATAGAAAATATAAAATCCTCATTTTTACTTTACTTGTAGCCAATTCAAGACCTTTCCTTTTTTCTCCCAATTTCTCTGAATTTACTTATTTCTTTTTTTTCTTTTCTTGTCTTTTCTTTGTTAGCATTGCTTTGTTTAAGTCCTCATTATTTTACCCTGGGACAATGAGTATATTTCTCTTAATTTGTTTCTTCTTATAATCACTCCACTAGAATGGTCTTCCTAAAATACAGAAAATACAGATATGGTGGCAAACTTTCTCTGTATGAAATCATTCTGCAGCCTATAGGACTGACTCAGGATGTAATCTAAGACTGAAGTCTGACATGAATGAAAAAAGTGTGATATGAATTTCAATCAGGACCTAATACATTATTTGTAGCACCCATGCAACATGAAAGTGTGACAACTTTTGTTATTAATAATTTATAGAGACAGAAAAATCATTAAATATACAATAGCATGATCTAAATAGAAAGTGTGATACAGTTACATAGGTAGCATGACCATAAAGTTGGGTCATGACCTCAAGGCACAATACCTCATTTTCTGACCTTTCCTGATAATTGGCATACAGTTCAGGAATGTCTAGGTACTTGAGAGATCCTGACATTACAACTCTTTTCTGTGTCTGCAATGTCACCAAGGTTTATAGGTTCAAAGACTCCCTCTTAATTGAACATGGAGAAATGCGGACATTTCCTTAAGGACTTGTGTATTCTCTTTGTTTCTTCTTATAATCACCCCACTAGAATGGTCTTCATAAAATACAGAAAATGCAGATACGGTATATTCTCTTTCTGTCTGTCTCTGACTCTGTCACTTCCTCATGTCTCTCTCTCCTCTCCCTCTCTCCTCTATTCTCTTTCCCCACTGCTGTTCCCCCTCTCCCCTCTCTCCATTCTCTCTCCTCTCTCTTCCCTCTCCTCTCCTCTCTTTCTCTTTTCTCTCTCTCCTCTCCCTTTCCTCCTTACTCTTTCTCCCTAATCCCAGCTCCCCATCTTCCCTCTCTCTCCCCTCTCTCTGCTATCTTTCTCTCTCCCGTCTCTCCTCTCCCTCTCTCCCTTACTCTCTCTCCCACCCAATATCCCTTTCTCCTCTCTCTTTAAATTTAAATTGTAGGTTTAATTTTAAATTATGGGTTTAATTCCAAGAGAAAGATTCATAGGTGCATTACTTTTTAATTTCTCCTTCATATTTCTGTTTAGAATGTATTAAGAAGTCAATAAACATTTTTCTGATTCATATATAATTCTAAATATTTCAGTTTTACAAAGCATTAATGCTACATCTCACTAAGTTAAAAGTTTGGGTTAAAAATATTGTGAGTGATTGAAAACGTTTAGTATTTCAAATGTTCAAGATGTTTTAAAATTAGGTTTCATTTAGTGTAAAAATTTCAAAACCTACCTGGACTGAACTGCTTGATAGATTCAACTAATTCTTTGTCTTAATTAGAAAGTGAAAGCCAAAATTAGATTTTGATATTTATGCTGATGTTTTCCCTTTGAACATGTCATCATAATTTCTCCTTTTATTAGAAGTTTAACAGATATCATATGACTATAATAATCTTATGCTAGAAGTTTTATACTAGAAGTTTTACACTGGAAATTTTGCAGATATACTTCCATGAACAGTAATGCGTGAGGAAAAATAACTTAGAAAGGAATGAGACATGTTTTATGTTTCTTTTTAGAAGATGATGCTACAGGAATTGAAAATCTTTTTCTAAAAAGAGTTTCAAAAACACAAGGATAATCAATGCTAAAACATCATAGTGTTGCACTCTCAAAAGGGCTACCTTAGAATCATGCGAAAGTATGACCTTATGGAAAATTATTTGATAGAAGTTCTGCTTGTTTAAATACAAGATTTAAAGCCTACAATTATAATAATAATATCATAATCTATCATATCTAATGATATATAGGTCTTAGGAAGCAATATCTCCAATTAGGATTTAGTTGTCCAAAATTATTTATTTGAAACTTTTTGGCTCAATGAAAATGGTTGCTCTGAAAGGTTTTAATCTTTGATAATGATACAAAACCACAGAATAAAGGAAAATAGAGTAATATAAATCGAAATTTTACTTATACAAACCAAATGTATTAGGAAAAATTAAAAATAAATAATTAGGAAAATGTCCAGAAATGGAGATATCTGGACATTATAGCATTTAGCATTATATAGACCATGATAGCATTTAAAATTTAAAAGTGCAGAAAGAAAAAGACAAGAACAAAAACCTTAATAGTCCAAGTTGAAGCTTCTTATAAGCTTGTGCCTTTATTAATCAATGAGAATATTCTTGAGATTCCTGGGAATGCTTGGCCACTCATGAGTCCATCTACCAAAGCCTGGAACAATTCCATTATGAAACAAAGATTTGTTTAAGGTAATATCCTAGAAAGGAAAGATTAATAAAAATAATTAGTCCTATCATCATTACACTTTAAAATGCATAGTAGCCTTGCCAATGTGCATTCTCCAAAAAGCCTATTGAAAACCATAACAAATCTTAGGTATTCTAAGGGTAGATTTTCAACTAAACAAAATCTATAGAAAATATGACTTCTCTATCATTTTAAGACAATTATTTGAATGTTAATATCAAAATGCTTATCAAATGAAGCTAATTTTATGTTTACAAACGAAGTACATAAAGACAAATTATAATACAACTCTGGATTTATAAGACGTGTTACTCATAGTGAGAAGATAAATTCAGAAATACAAATTTAATAACTTTACAAGAATAGAAATTTTATAGGTATAGTTTGTTATTATTAAGCGTTAATTATTTGATGTCCCTCATTGGGATCTCCCTTTTGGAGATCTGCCTTTTGGAGATCTCAAAGAGGAGATCCCTTAGAATGCTCTGGCCCATTGATGAGAAAAGTGGCCCTATCACTTGCTTTGGTTAAAATTGAGAAAAGACCTGAGATATATCTTGCTTAATCTTCAACACTTTGGAATGTTCCCTGCTCTTTTGCAGTGAAATAATGCTCCAGTCTGATCTGATGTAGACAAGCAGTCAGTCTAACTGGGAGAAGAATGAGCAGTGAATTTTTCCTGTTCAGTTTCATTAAGTTCTGGCTCATTTGTACAATGGAAAGAATAACCTGAAAAAATACATTAATTTATAAAAACATATCTGACTCCATACTTGATTTTATTTATATCAGCTTTCCTTTCAATAAACAGAGAATTAAATAAAACCATAAGCAATAAGTGAATTTATAAACAAGAAAATAAACAGATTTGTGTTGCATGACAATGATGTTCTGTTTAAGTCTTAGAAAAACCCTGTATGATGGGGATGTTTTTATTGCACTTCAGATGAGGACACTATGGCAATTTTTAATAAAAAATCTCCAGCTGGCTCCCTTACCTGACACAAAATTTATATTATAATATTACTAAATAAATATAATCATTTAGATTTCAATATTTGGAACAGAAATATTTTATAACTGTTAAAATAATAGGTACACAATTCAATTATGAAATCAATAATATATAATAAATAAAATAAATATTGCTTCTATTGTTTCTTATTTTTAGCTTAATTCTTCACCCTTGTGCAGTTTGTTCACTAAATTCTTATGTCACATTTTTTAGAAAGATTAATGTAGTTCCCCCCATTCTCCACTACTAATATTACAATTATATAGTAACATGGCTATTTCCCATTGAAGTGGTTCCCATTACAAAGTTCCCATTGAATATTTACATTAATATTAATTAAAAACAAACAGAAACAACAAGTCTCTTTAGTACATACTTTAAAATAGAAATCTAAATTATTTACATTTCTTTTGTATTAATTTTCTTACAAACACTCAAAAAAGCAGCATTAATAAATAGATTTTCAATTAAGAGGACTGTGATATTACATAAATTATATCTTTTTCATTGGAATATGAAAATATGCATCATGCAGAGCCAGTATTTCCAGAAACTAAAAATTCCCAGAATAGGGCTATGAGATGTGATCTTTCGCATCCTTCAGATCCATACTGGTGAAGCTTAGATTTAAATCCATCCAATCTGTTCATATTACCTTAAAACAGATGCTAGAAATATAATTCTGTTAAGTAGATAAAACAGTTCACAGAACTCCATTTTAATAGCTGAAGTTTAAACAGTATATGAAATAACAGAATTTCAAAGAAACATTAATAAAGAGAATGAGATTCATGGATTTAGAGACAGATACCAAAAAAACACTCATGTGAAGGAGTTAATTGCACACTTATTATTATTCTTTCATTATAAACAATCAAAAATTGCTGGGGATAGTTTACAATAAAAGATAAAAGCAAGGAACATCCATAAAACCAAGTGAAAGGAAAGTTCACAGGACCCAGGAAAACAATATAAAAATATTACTTAAGTGATAAGGACTCAAATGATTTTTCTTTCTTGCTATTGTTTCTAACATATTTATAAGATGATTTCTTTGTTGCTTTGTATGTCCATCCCCCATGGTATAACCCCTGTTTTTACTGTATTTGATGTTGGTATAATTTGGGGAGGGGAAAGGAAAATCAAATTGTTTAAATAGGGATACAGAGGGGTTACAATTACATGAGAAAGGAAATGAGTACATTTCTTATCAAACATTGTAGCCTCCTCCTTTGTTTCCCCTTACCATCCCTGCCCTTCCATCTCCCTCCCCCACCCGCCCACCCACCTCATCCCCCTCCGCCACAGTTGAAAAGTTTGTTTTTTGACATCATGTCTTGTACATCTCATTGTTGCAATGAGTCCACCTGTATCCCTATTTTCTTGATCCATTCATCTGCTGAGGCGCATCTGGGTCGGTTCCGTATCTTAGCTATGGTAAATAATGCTGCAATGAACATGGTTGTTCTGATAGCTTTAGTATGGCCTACTTTGAGGTTAATGGGTGTAGAGGAGCACTGAGGGACAGAAGTTAATGGTCTAGGAAATTTATTTAACAGGATCCTAGCAGAAAACTTCCCAAACATGCAAAAAGATAAGCCCATTCAAATACAAAAAGTTTTTAGAACCCCAAATAGACAAGACCAGAATAGGACATCCCATCATCACATTGGAATCCACACAGGACCAATTCAGACCAAGGAAAGGATCCTTAAAGCTGTCAAGGGAAAAGATCAATCACCTATAAAGGGAAACCAATCAGAATAACTTCAGATTTCTCAACAGAGACAATGAAAGCAAGAAGAGCCTAGAATGATTTATGCCACACCTAAAGACAAACAGCTATCAACCAAAAATTCTGTACACAGCAATTGGAACAAAAAGCAAGATCTTTCTACCTTCTACCTTCAATAGACACACCTTGCCCACAAGACAAACATTTTCTGAAAGTTAAAGGCTGGAATAAAATCTACCAAGCAAATGGCCCCCCCATAAACATGTGGGATTTGCAATCCTAAAATCAGATAAAATAGACTTAATATTAGCAACAAGAGATAGAGAAGGTCATTACATACTAATTAAAGGATCTCTCCTTCAGAAGAATATTACAATTCTAGATATCTATTCACCAAATTATGGAGCACCCAAATTTATCCAAGAAGCACTACTTTCCCTAAAATCTCACATAGATCCAAAGACTTTAATGGTTGGGGACTTTAACACATCATTATCCCCACTGAATAGATCAACCCAGCAAAAACTCAACAGAAAAACTTTGGATCTAAACAACTGCATAGATCAACTAGACTTCACAGACATCTACTGAATATTGCACCTAGTAGCAATAGACATTCTTCTCAGCAGCACATGAAATATTCTCCAAAATAAACCACATTTTCAGTCACAAAGCAAGTTAATTCAAATTCAGAATCATTGAAATTATGCCCTGCATTCTCTCAGATCACCAGGAAATAAAATTAGAATTTAACACCAAAAGCCACCAAAGAAAATCTTGTAACACATGGAGGATGAACAACACACTGTGGAACCACCAGTGGGTCATAGAAGAGATTAGAAAGGAAATTCAAATGATCATGGTATTTAACAAAAATAAACACACAAACAACATGCTCCTCTAGGACACAGCAAAGGCACTACTCAGGGGCAAGTTTATAGCTCTGAGTTCCGACATCAACAAATTGGAGAGATCTCAAACCAACAATTTAATGAGGAACCTGAAGCTCCTTAAAAAAGACCAAAAAGCTTAACTCCAATCCAGTAGACTGAAACAAAGAATTAAAATTAAATCAGAATTAAACGAATTAAGAGTCCAAAAAATTATAGAAAGAATCAACAAAACGAAGAGTTGGTTCTTCAAAAAAATTAACAGAATTGACAGACCCTTAGCAAATCTTATTAAAAAAGAACACACCCAAATAAACAAACTCAGAGATGAGAATGGTAACATCACAACAGAAACAACCAAGATTCAGAACATTATAAGGGGATACTTCTCAAATCTTTAGGCTAATAAGCTTGAAAATCGAGAAGAAAATTTCTAGCAAATATTGACATGCCCAAACTAAACCAAGATGATTTAAAAACTTAACAGATCCATATCAAGCATTGAAGTAGAAACATCAATAAGAGACCTCCACACAAGAAAAGCCCAGGACCAGATCGAATTACACCTGAATTCTACAAGGCCTTCTAAGCAGAACTCACACCAATTCTCCTCCAACTCTTCAATGAAATTGAAATTGAAAGTTCACTACCAAACTCTTTCTGTGAAACCATCATAACCCTCATCCCAAAACCAGACAGGCACTCATCAAAGAAAGAGATATATATAATAATTTCTTTGATGAACAGTAATGCAAAACTTCTCAACAAAATTTTGACCAATCGACTTCAACATCTCATCAAAAAAATAATATACAATGATCAAGCAGGACTCATTTCAGGGATACAAAGCTGGTTTAATATATCAAAATCAATTAATGTAATTCATCACATCAACAAGAACACAGATAAGAACCACATGATTATCCCAATAGATGCAGAAAAAGCATTTGACAAGATCCAGCATCCCTTTATGATGAAAGCTCTGGAGAAACTAGGAATCCATGGAGCATCCTCAACATAATAAAGGCTGTGTATGACAAACCTACAGACAGTATTATACTTAATGGCGAAAAACTAAAGCAATTTCCTCTAAATTCAGGAATGTGAAAAGGATGTCTACTCTCTCCACTTCTCTTCAGTTTAGCATTAGAATGCCTAGCAAATACAATAAGACAAGATACAAATGTAAAGGGGATTCTAATAGGGAAAGATGAAGTAAAACTCTCCCACTTCGAGGATGACATGATCTTGTATTCAGAGCACCCATGGACTCCATTCACAAGTTACTTGGGCTGATTCAAAACTTTGGCAAAGTAGCAGGATACAAAATTAACCTTCAAAAATTAATGGTTTTTCTGTATACCAATAAA